TCGAAGCAAAGGTCAGTACTAAGTGTTTGGTTGGTATTTCCTTTTGATCTCTTCTTATCTTAATACGCTGTACGTTTGTCACGTTCTGGCTCTTCCATCTTTCCAGAAGTTCAGCTTCGGTCAGGTCATGCAAATCTGCGTCCGATACTACCCCGCGAGCAGAGTTCATGGACCTGTGTGGTGCAATACTGATGGGTGTGTCTCCAAACGTTGTGAGGGTGTTCAGTTTTTCGAATTGGTCTTTGTCACCTATCTCAAGCAGTAGATCTCCGCTGGCCATTTTGGTAACCTTGTACCCGGCACCGAGAGTTTCGGTTAAGCACCTAGCCACTACGAAGGGGGATACAGTTCTGGCTTGCTTGTTAGTTTTCTCACAATGTATAACATGGAAATGAGGAAAGATTTGTCTTGGCCGGATGAAAAAATTGATATCTTCGGTGCGTACCCGCTTTGAGGAGGCACGATCACTAAGTAAAGGGAATGCTTTATGCATGCTAATTGTATGTTGTTCAGCAGCGTTGGCGGCCACCCACCACGGAGCCCAACAAAGGGACGCTGCAAGTTTGCACGTGCTGAAAGCTTGCAGACGTCAGCCGTACAACACTGCCATAACCCAATGCGCCTAGACCAAGGTAAGCTATTTGCACAGGGTTAACCCTTGCCGCCGAGAAAATTGGAAGTAAGCAGAAGAGAGAAGTAGACAGGAAAGCTAAAAAAGTAAGACGAAGATGTAGGGAGAGAGAGATAGGAAAAGGGGACTGCCGATTTCCCCTGGGTGGGTCAGCCCAGGGGTGCCGTCTACATGAAGCCGGGGCCAAAGGGGTGTGTTGCCTCCGCCGGGGGGCCTTAAAGGTCCAATCACCTGGCGTCGGCTCAACCCCCAGGATCCCCTTTTTCCCCGGACACGGCAAAGCCACGCACGGCTAGGCGTGGGAGGGAGCCGAAACCCCCCCGTTAGCCCGGGTCCGTTATGTCGCTACACACCAAACGCCTGCTTTTACAGGCGCCTAAAAAAAACAAAAACAGGACCATTCCTTGCAGTACGTCACTCCGTAGATTTTGTGGCGCACGGCGGCGAGAAGGGCAAGTGGAGTTCTTAGAAATGGATCGTTTTTCCGAGAAATCTAATTTTACAAATTTTAACAGTAATGATCCGGAGTGCCCAGTTCACTATTACGCTTGTCAGCTCGAAATGCCCAAACCTAGTGAGGGGTCCTTTAAGGTGTTCACCGATAGGAGAGAAATTGGTCTTATGCGATTATACCTAGCATTCCTCTCTTCTGTGGTATCAGTGGTCTGGTTATTTGCTCCTGTGCTCCCCTTTCCAGCCATAACAAAACGAAAGAGATCCAGGAGAGTGTTCATTGAATGGTAGACACTTGACGCACAATGCTAGACAATAAAACGAAATACCACATACTGTGAATCGCACGGGAAATGCATGCCTATGCTTAATCGTTGGTACCTTTCTTCTATCCTAAACAATATCATTTTTTTGCTTCTTAACATAGATACAAGTTACCGACGTCGTCTTTTTGGGATATTTCTATTTTTGTAGAAATTTATTGGGCCTATAATTATGCTTTTGAGGGCCTAAAACACGTATTTTCCCTGCCTGTCTTTGGTGCCTAAAAATCTGACCTCTATTGATCACATACCCACACCAAGAGCGAGCAAGACGCGCACACACGACACAGATGCCAGAGCGTGCGGAACAGCTCTGGGCCCGTTTGTAGTCAGAAAATGAAACAAACTTTGAGCCAGCGTGGCTGGTGTTGCAGAGTGGTGGAGACAGGCAAAGGGGTTATGATCAATAGAGGAGAGCAGATCTGCGAGAGAAGGGCAAGGGGTTGCGATAGAGTGAAGAGAGGGGAGGACACGGCAGGAGGGTGACCTTGAAAACCAAAACACGGGGGAAGGAGGTTAGGTCGGGTAGCTTGGTTGAAAGGTCCGCGAAACGCGCAACTCGCACGTAGAAAAACTCGAAAGAGTGCCTCCACGAGCAGAAGTCAAAGCCAGCTGCCTGGATCGACCCATGCGGCGGTGTTCAAGGAATCGGCGGTCGTGGTAAAAAAAATCGTTTTGTTGGACCGGCGGGTTTGCGTGGCCTCACCGACTTCGATATTTTGCGATTCGTTCCGCCCAAATTAACAGCCGTTTTCACGCTTCCACACGCGTGCGGAGGGCATGCTGAGCCGAGTGCGAAGTGAGCGAGAACAGGTCCTAAACACAAAAGGAATCGCGAATGATCAGAGTCAGTGGGGTAGGGTACGCGCGTGCACAAGATGCAGACGATCGGATACAGTCTGTGGCCAACAACGAAATGGTCTATCACTCCAGGCCAGCGACGCCAACGAACCAGCGATCAAAAACAGAGCAGATGGCTGACCGGTCTTTGAAAGATCAGTGGCAGCGTGTAAACACGGGCCTCGTCTGGCAATGCTGGGTGCTCAGAGAAGTGGGGGGGGGGGGACAAAGCCCAGAGGGGTGCGTAACAAAAAGCGGTCGGGGAGAGCGGCAACTAGAGAGCCGCAGAGGCAGGGTCGGCGTTTAAGAATAAGAATGTATGGGCACCTCGCCGATGCCTGACCGGTGGTCGAAAGTGGTTTCCCGAAAAGTCGGCTGAGCGCCAACCACGTTCGCTGTAACCGATCGGTGGCGCTCGGAGACGTTCGTTGTAAGTGCGATTTTGTACCATTGAACCAATGCATATTTTCACGGTCACGCGGATATTGTTCATTTTAAGCGATAGTTCGTTTCAAGTGGGGCCGTTATATGCGGGCTCGACTATAATGCCTTTTCAAGCCAAAGTGGAATCTGTTCTGTTAGAACATCCCGTGATTTTAACAAGTTCGGCAGACAACTTTTCCATGTGCGTCTTCCAGGACATACCACCTTTAAGCTAGATACCCAAAAACTTGTGAGCTTCACCTCTTGTATTCATACATCTCGAAACAAAATTGTTAATACCAAATTTATCGGATGGTCAGTAGGGTGCAAAAATTATCCTGATGATGAAAGTGGCAGACTTGTCTACTTGAATGACATCATTTTCACTCCCAGCTTTAACGAACACCTCTAATGCCTTCGAACAGTACGTCAGACAATCGGGTCACTTGAACTGGAAAAGTGTCGATTCTCAAACAAATAGCTGCTATATATTGTGGTGGTACTGACAGTCCCCTGTAAAGTTGTTTGCACCGCATGGCGCACTTGTCTCGCGCAGAAGCTGTATTTCGGCGTAACGGCTATTGAGCGCGATAGGTGGCGTTGTGTACGGAGCGGTGATTCATCAACATCATGGTTATTAGAGCCGTAGCGTCGGCAGTAACCCCTGGCAGCAGGTAAGCCTTGGTGACGGTGTGCAAGAAATAATGGCAAATTCCACTTGTCGAGCGGGAGCAAGTTTTCTTGCTCCAAAGTTGAAAATTCGCGTTTCGCTGGTAGATTCGGAGCAAGTTTGCATTTTCCACTGGTAGATTCAGAGCGATCCACTCCGCAACGGAGCATTCCGCGTGCTCTATCTTGCAGAGACAGAGTTCACCCGAACTCCGAGAATGCGTTACAGTTATTTCCGGTACAGTCGGGCAGCTGGGTTGCCCTCAGAGTTTTTTGAAGCGGTCTAGTAACAGTCTAGTTTTTTGAAGCAGTCTAGTTTTGAAGCGGTCTAGTAACAGTCGCAAGACAATCGTCTTTCGACAACATTTGCAGTGTAACATGCAGATACGGGGCCAATTTTTTTTTCCTTTTCTTTTTTCGCTGAAAGCCATGAGGTGCTTCAGCTGACACTCATTAGTATAGCTACATTTCATTGACTTGTGGCTCTTAAAGGCCGTCGTTTCCACGGGTTCACGGCGACAGCGCGATTAAAAATTGACCCATGCCAACCAAAGTTTTCGAATTAAACGGAGTGGTGCTGACGGCCGCTTTAAAATATCCACTCAGACTTGCATTGCAAAACACAGGACCACGGAAATATTTCTAATTAAGCGGGACTTTGAAATAACCGAGGTCAAATTTATGAGGTTTTACTGTATATCTTACACCGTTGTTAATGTTAGTGTGTTTGCGCCTGGATTTATTGATGACGCAAACTACAAGTGGGCAACGTGGCATATATTTTTCATTGAAGTTAGCGCAACAGAGAGCTTTGAGGCTGATCACACATTTTGGAGCAGCGTGGCACAATTTCAGCAAATTTCATGGTTTTGGTGCAGCTCGGCGCAAAAATTCGGAATTGTATCAAATTGGCGCAGCTATCGCATTACTGCCCCATTGTTTCATTCTCCACCCCCTGCGGGTCCCGCAATCTGAAAACAGCCCATTCAGCAGCATCACCGATGCTTGAGCGCACGAAGTCTCAGGCGCTTGTTCACTCTGAGGCGCTAGTTTCTAATGGTATTTAGACAGGTGTTTCAAACTGACAAAGATTTGTTTTGAATTGAAGACACTATCATCAATTATATGATACGTTAAGAGCATTCAAAATTCAATTTCAACCAGATGCAAAGCAACAAATTATTGTAAAAAAAGTCACACAACACTTTCACTCTTAGAGGTCCTTTAGAGCAAAAAAAAAATTTTATTCTCAGAAACAACTGAATTTCAAGTTCTGAGCTCGGAGTTTTACTTACGGTTATTATCTGTTTCAGAGAAACAGCTCTCTAAGTGCTAGTTGCAATAGTGGATGATGATCACTTTTACAATCGATGTCTACAGTATAACACAACTCACAGAAGATGCGCAACAATAGAGAAAGCTGCTGGCACGTGGAGGAGCCTGAGCATTTTTATCTTAATCTCAAGCATGCTAACCAATCAATTTTCAGGCAGTCTATAATTTTCATATACAACTAATTAAAGACAGTAGTGTCTTTTTTTTTTACTGCTGTGTATGCCCAAACAAAACACTACACCAACAGGAAATAAAGTGAATGATATGTTGTAGAAGAAAGTAATTGCCAAGCCGAGCTTCTGCCCGCTGTGAATCCTAGCACCCACCTCTAATCGCCGCAATATCTCCCGCAGAGGCAGGGTGCTCTCCTCGCCACCGATGAATGTGGTTGCAGGAAGCTTGAACAGACGATCCATGTCTTTCTCCTCTGCATGAAAATAGGTAAGACAGGGATGTACCAATAAGACAAATGGAGAATGGACAAGGGAAATCACACTGCATGCACGTATTTCAAAAGTCTTTTTATTTTCCTCTACAAAGAAACTGCCTTGACCCAATAATAGTAAACATTGAATCCCCATCAACCTTTTGTGGTGTAATAAGAAATAAGCAATAATGGCAAAAAAAATGTTTTAATGGTTAAGCAAAATTGTTCTTACATTGCTCACATGAATTTATTATGTTGTATCAGATTGTATTAAGTTTCACTGTTAGGTTGCAAATACTAATGGTGTATTACACACAACCACGATTCAAGTGTAAACAATGCATTCCAAGGCAAATGCATCGTATCTCATTTACATGTATCTTCTATATATGCAGAAAGTCACTACATGTCAGCAGATGGATGCACATAGTAAATGACTGAGCTTATAGCCGTGGGCATTCTACAAGTTCAAAAATTGAGCGAAAAGTCGAATGGTGCCACTTCTCTAGTGGCACACACTCTCAATGGAGCTTGTATTACTTAAAGAAACAGAGGTGTGAGAACTTTAATGGCACATGCACAGCCTACAGAAACAGCCCTGAGTGCCACAGAAAACTCTTTCCGGTAACGGTCACAGCAAAGAGGCAGGCAGTCAAGTGTGGTGCAAGAAAGGTGCATACCACATAAAAAAGTTAAGGCCTGACCTCATGTCGCCATTGCAGCGCGTCAGTACGTGATTTTTTGATGTGGTGCCGTGCCCCCTCCCTATGGAGAAAGAGGGCCCGTGGCTATGCAAAGTTGTGCACCCTCTCTCTTTTCATAAGGAGAGGGTGTGGTGCCACGTCAATAAAACATGCACTGATGCACTGAACAGGTACGCGTGTTCAGGCCTTTATGCTTCAACTGCCTGCCTATTACTGAACTATCAGATGCCATGAAACTGTCATATATATTGAGCAGCTGGCCCAGCTACATAGCATCTTATGCACAAATGTGACACCAATGAGGTTCACAAAAAAAATATGATGCCCTAGGAGAAAACGATTAATTTTTTTAATATTCAATGTCCCGTAGTTGCAAAAGGGTAATTATTTTGAAAGTAACATGGGCACTTCCCCCTGCCCCACTTTCCTTCACAAAGGCAAGTTGATGGTTCTTGCTTCAACTATTCATTCTGCAGTGGAAACACCTTATATAAATCCAAGAAAGAGGTATTTTCTGAGAGCTCAGTTTCTCCAAGAACACCACTGCACTTTCATTGTCATGAATGATACAGCAATACACTTAATTAGAATGCAAATGAAGAAGAATGCAGCACATATGGCTAGAGAGTAACAACGCATTTGCTGCAACGCACCCTCTGTATTTGAAAGAGGATATCGGTGAAGTCTACAAAAGCTAGAAAAGGAAGGCGAATTTCCAAGGTGTCATAAATATATGAGACAGCAAGTTAAAAAAAAATTATGCATTGGCTTACGAATACAGACAATTTATCAATCAACACAAAATGGCTAAAATGCTCATGGACTGCTGCCAACAAGGAGCTTTAGGCTGCCACTGTGTAGTTATTGAGCAACGAAAAAATAATTTCTTCCGACAGCTTCCTATACATATATTCATTGTTCCGCACACAAAACAGCCAGAAATAAAACACTACAGCAACTTAAGAAACCACATGAGTTAATTCTAAAGCAAGCACAGACGGACCACCAGAAGATGAAAAAGCACCAGCAAGCACGAGAAAAGAAACGGGAAGACTCGGTAGTAGCAAGGTTCTAATGGTTGCAGTCAGGGTCAACAAAAGCCCTTTGTAACAATCTCAACGGAATCGAGTGCTTCCACGTCTGCTCCATGTCACATGGCACACAACATGTGTGGTGTAATATGCACTGTTTGTGCTCAAACTTTGCACAAGTGTCATCCATAAAGAATATGCATTGTTTGTGCTCAAGCTTTGCACAAGTGTCATCCATAAAGCTTGTACTCAGTCAGTTCCACGCACGTGGAGCAGGCATACATGGCAGGCAGACAAACAAGAGTACACCTCTAGCTCATCTGGAACATAAGTGTTATCTGATGCAGTAACAGTACACTGCTAGCAGATGAAAACAAATACTGGTACAGTTGGAGAACACGCAGTAATCCACTTCCTTCATTTTAAAAAGTGGCTAATGCAAAGATATCTATGCATTAGCGGTAGTGCAGGGTGACAGTGTCCGGTCAAGGCGGCTGTGACGTGGTGCCAACACTTTCAATGTGGCCAAATAAACTTGGACAATGAAGATACCATAGCTCTACGATGAACAAATTTGCGCACAAGTCCCCGCTTTGAGACCCTCTGACTGGCACAACGCAAACAAATAGCACAGCACGTCACCATGAGTGCAGGCTCAATGCACAACAGTCAAAGAAACCTACACACGAATAAGGTCGTTGTGCACTGTGTTTTCAGGTTGCCGACACAAAACCAAAACGACCAGCAGAAAGAAGCAGTAGGAGCACTGTTCAAGCCTTAAAATAGTGATGCTGATGACTTTCTTGCAATCTTCATCACCGAGAATTTCGGATCAATGCTGAGAGCACAATTACTATACCAAAAGTATAAGATCATAAAGCAAACAGGTCCGAGCATATAAATTTGCCACAGCCAAAAGAGACCATGCTATCAGCGGAAAATGCCATACTGAATGTGTTCCCAGAGATGCCAAATGAGGGCACAATCAGTCCCACAGGAAGCTCCACACTAAGCTCCGAGACTTCACCGAGGCAAAGTAGAGAGGAAAGCTCAAGAAATAAATCTGTCTGCCCTGTGACAATGCATCGAGAAACTCAGCACAGGTGATGCTGTTTCACATGACCTGCCTAAGTTAAGAATTTTGCCCTATCCTCTTCCGCCACATACACTATCACCGTGGGCTGCTTTTCCAGGATGAGCATAATGTGATACGTTAGTTGAAGTTCTTACTGAACTCACAAAATGAATACCTGTACAGTGATGATCTGTAGAAGCTAATTAGTATTACCGTAGTTACTCGAATCTAACGCACACATTTTTTCTGGTTAAGCGAGTTGATAAATCGCATGTGCGTTAGAATCGAGTACGAAAAAAAAATGAATACGGTCATTCTATTGCTATCGGCATTTTCAAAATGGCCGCCCCCTACGTGCGTCGGCCATTTCTGCCTATGTGTTTCCTGTGTTTCCCATGTGCAGCACTTCGCACGTGTGCTGAGGAGTTCGTCATCTTGTAGTGCATTAGCACCGACGGCATGGAAGGACCGACTCCAAAAACTCGAGTGCACCACGATGCTGCGTTTAAAAGAAAAGTCATCGCGTGTGCAGAAACGGACGAAAATCGGGCCGCATCGCGGTCGTTCGGAGCTCTCGAAACGCTCGTGCGGGACTGGCGGAAACAAAAGCAGAAGATTGTCGACAGCAAAGCTTCACGCGAAGACTTCAGTGGACCACAGCAGGGTCGGTTTCCGCAAATTGAAGAACTGCTCGGTGAGTAGCTCTTAATGTGCTTGAGCAGCGAGCGGCAGAGCGGCCCGTGACGACAGAACTTCTCCAAGTGCGGGCTATGCAATTAGCCTTAAAAAAAGGTCTACCCCGGAGCCAGTTTAAAGCCAGCAGGTGCTGGCTAACCAACTTTATGAAGAAGAAAGGCTTTTCCCTCCGAAGGTGAACGGCACATGCGAAAAGTTTTGCGGAGGAGTACGATGAAAAGCTTCACAGTTTTCAAAGGTTCGTCTTAAACTTGCGACACAACAACGGCTACCTGCTTGGGCAAATAGGGAATGCCGATCAGATGCCTCTTTACTTGAACATGCCTGGCACCACAACCGTCGCGAAAAAGGGGGCGAAGGAAGTTCGCGTGCTGACATCGGTCCACAGTAAAACTACAGTGATGGCAATGCTCTGTTACACGTCAGATGGGCACAAGCTTCCCCCGTACCTCATATTTAAATAGAAGACGCTCCCGAAAGGAGTTGTTTTTTCGAGTGGTGTGATCATGCGGGCCAGCGAGAAAAATGGGTGTGCGTTGCAATTGATGTATTACTGGTTTTTTTTTTTTGTCGTGGAAATCGGGTGCGCGGTACAATCGAGGGCGCTGTAGAATCGAATAAATACGGTATTAGCATAACACATCCTGCTGAAGTTAGAAAACTTAAATTAAACTGAACTTCAAGCAAAGTCTCATCACTTAATATTCATTCCTTTATGGCAATAGTATGAACTTTGTGAATGCCCTTTGTATATGGCAGCAGACTATTGAAACAAAGTTTTGCAGGCATGTACAGTCGATCACGGATATATCAAACTCAAAGGGGATACCAAAATAGTTCGATATATTGATAATTCGAAATATAAAATGCGTATTCAAGGCAAAAATTAGAGCATCTCAGGCCTAGGGATGGGTTTGAAAAATTTTAATGAGGGTTAACATAACGATATGCTCACAGCATAATAAAGAACAAGGTGTGGACATCTTTTTTTGCAAGTTACCAGACTTTATCACTTGAAAATGGTCCGTAAGCTTGTCTCAATTCTTGGGCGCTGTCAATTTCCAGTCATCCTCAACATCATGGAAGCTTCCCAAATAAGCAATTAAGCTCATTCGGCTGCTACAGCGTTGCTCGACTCTGAACGGCTACATAAGCTCCACAAAGTGTTAAAAGGCTGGATAGAGGCAGAAGCGACACACTTCCGCAGCACCGGCAACGTCGGTCATGACCTTGGCATTGATACAATCAGAAATAGCAACGTCGCCATCTGTGCGAATGAAGCCACTCGCTGTCTTATATGGTGCCCGGAAATGCAAACAAGTCATAGAATTCCCTGAGGCATCGTGCGCCGTCGTCAGCAGTCATTACAAACCCGAACTCGTCACCTGGCACCAAAGCACGCAAGAAAACACTTTAAAACTGTGCTTTACTTCACATCACTCCCAGCACCAGTATAATGTCTATCGCTACGAGTGGATGAATGTTTAGTTCCGA